TTTTTTTTGGTATTATAAGAATATTGCAATTTTTGAGAGAAAAATTCGTAACTCGCGACCCATTTGATGAAATTTGATGAAATTTTTTTTGAGAGTTGTTGAAGCTTTTCCCTTTACAATAGAAAGATTTCCAGAATAAAATTTGCAAAACAAGTAATTCTTTTATAACAATAATTTAAACAATTGCAATTATTTATATATTCTAGGCCCGCGATTGCAGTGAAATTTAGGCACAATATACTCTAAACTCTTCTTTTTAAATTCCAAAACGAAAAAATTGGTCTTTCCAATTTTGACAGTCGCTATCGATTTTTTTCTCACCTTTACGCCTTGAGTAAATAGCTATTTTCATGTAAGCTTTTGTGAGTGATAGGGTTTTTTATGTTAATTAATGAATAATTATACAAGTACGTACATTATTTAACGTATAACTTGAAACATCAATGTTTATTTAAACTTATGTTTATTTACAACTTGAGAAAAAAATCGATAGCGACTGTCAAATTGGAAAGACCAATTTTTTCTTTTTGGAATTTAAAAACAAGAGTTTAGAGTATATTGTGCCAAAAATTTCACTGCAATCGCGGGCCTAATAATTGCAATTGTTTAAATTATTGTTATTAAAGAATTACTTGTTTTGCAAATTTTATTCTGAAAATCTTTTTGTTGTAAAGGGAAAAGCTTCAGCAACTCTCAAACAAAATTTCATCAAATGGGTCGCGAGTTACGAATTTTTCTCTCAAAAATTGCAATCTTACTAATATAAATGTGAAAGTTTGTATGTTTGGATGTTTGGGAAGTCATCACGCGGAAACGACTGAACGGATTTGCATGAAATTTTGTACGCGGATAGCTTATGGGCCAGATTGGTTAATAGGCTATTTTTTAAGAGTTGCCACCTGCTAACAAAGTTTAATTAATTATTAATTTATTTAATATGCGGGAACGACTGAATGGATTTGCATGACAATTTGCACACAGATAGCTTATGACCTACAGTGGGAAATAGGCTATTTTTTGGGAGACTGAACGACTAAATGGATTTGCATGAAATCTTGCAAGCAGATAGCTTATGACCTACAGTGGGAAATAGGCTATTTTTTGGGAGACTGAACGACTAAATGGATTTGCATGAAATCTTGCAAGCAGATAGCTTATGACCTACAGTGGAAAATAGGCAATTTTTTTGGAAGAGTTGCCACCTGTTAAAAAGTTTAATTAAATTAATACGCGGAAACGACAAAACGGATTTGCATGAAATTTTTCACACAGATAGCTTATGACCTAGGTTAGAAAGTAGGCACCTGTTAGAAAGGTTTAATTTAATTAATACGCGAAAATGGGTGAACTGATTTATATGAAAGTTTTCACGCAGACAGCTTATGAGCTAGGTTGAAAAATAGGCTACTTTTTTTAAGATTTGCCACCTGCTAACAAAGTTTAATTAAAGTAATACGCGGAAACGTCTAACGGATTTGCATGAAATTTTGCAAGCAGATAGCTTAGGGGCTGTCCATATATTACGTAAGGAAGTTTTCGCCTGTTTTGAACCCCCCTCCCCTCACGTAATAAATTGTAAGATTTAATTAATCCCCCTCCCCCCGCCGCAGGTCTTACGTAAGATTAAAAATCCCCTAGACATTTTTTTTTTCATTAAACATTAGAAAATACTATATATTTCCATCAAACAAATATAGGATGTATGCCTAGTCAGTCTTAAAAACTTCATTACATAGTTATACTAGTCATTCTTTGTTGTCGGTATCTTTGGTCCACGGTCCAGCCAGCCAATCTGAAAGAGGAGTAGCCACAGGGATATCTCGTACTTCTTTTACACTCAAAGGTATTTCATTTTCACAGTCCACTGAAATTTCTTCTGATTCACCCACTCAACAATATCCTCTGTTTCATTTTCTGTGACGACACACATGAGCTCTCGCCCGCGTCGTGAAATGTGAATGCTTAGGGGCTGTCCATATTTTACGTAAGAGAGTTTTCGCCTGTTTGTGTTCGAGCTGAATTTTTCGGTTATAATAAATACCGAAGAGTAACGTTTTTTTAGAAAAATAGAAAAATTAAAGCAAAAGTTGTAAAAAATTTTAATATCCTCCGTATTTAATGTATATTTTTCATTTCAATGCAATTTAGTACTTTAATTGGGTGAATTTTCGTATTTTATAAAAAACAATTTTTAATAAGAATACCCTCCCCCCGCCCTCCCCACAAAGGTCATACGTAATATATGGACAGCCCCTTATGACCTACAGTGGAAAATAGGCTAATTTTTTGGAAGAGCTGCCACCTGTTAAAAAAGTTTAATTAAATTAATACGCGGAAACGACTGAACAGATTTGCATGAAATTTCGCACAGAGATAGGTTATGACCTACGTTGGGAAATAGGGTACTATTTTAAGAGTTGCCACCTATTAGAAAAGTTTAATTAAATTAATACGCGGAAATTACTGAACTGATTGGCATGAAAGTTTGCACACAAATAGCTTATGACCTAGATTGGAAAATAGGCTACTTTTTTAAGAATTGCCACCTGTTAGAAAATGAAATTTTGCTCACAGATGGTCTATGATCTGGATTGAAAAATAGGCTACTTCCTTAGCCGGTTTCCCGATCAAAACGAAATTTGGTACACTTACTACGGGTTTCGCAAGAATGGTCTGAAAGTAATTCCGATAATTCAAGGCCCCTCCCATACAAATTGGAATTTTCATATTACATACATATCTCTGGAAGTATTTGTGGGAGAACTGGAACTTGGTATAGAGATATGTATGTGAAATCAAGGTTGGCATTAATCGATTGATTTTTTAATCGATTAGTTATTTCGATTAAATTCAATCTGATAACAGTTAATCATGATGTATTTTTATTTGACAAAACAGTTAATTGTAACCGTGATTAAAAAAATTAATTTTTAATCATTAGCTCTTAATTTGATCAAGTAGGTTTGGTGATTAATTAAGTTATGCTGGAATTTCCCTGTGCACACAAACCAAGTTAATCCGGTATGGCTAAGTCGGGTTTCCTCATCAATCTAAGCAATTTGGTGTGCATTTTCATTAAGATATATACCAACAAACGTTTTGAAAACTATGTTTGTAAAGTTCCCAGTGTATGTATTACTAATAACAATAATTATATTTTTTTTATTATGTGCTTTTTATAAGCGTAAAACACAAACTAATTACTATAACTGGTGTTTGGTTTCAAACTCGGACAAACTAGACAAATTAATCAGATTTTATTTTTAATTGGATTAACGATTAATGTTTTAAATTAATTAAACGTAATCGCAGCCATCGATTAACGATTAAAAAAATATTATCATTAATCGTACAGTAGATTACGACTAATTAATTTTAAACGTCAAACGCGATTAACATTTTAATCGTTAATTTTTAATCGTTAATCAGATTAACATTTTGCCAACACTGTGTGAAATCATATTCATACTCACGGAGAAAAATGGACATTTTTGGAAAAGAGGCATAGCCCCTCCCATACTGACTGAAAGTTTCATATTGCATATATCTTCAAATGTTTGGGGTAAAGTACTCAAGCTTGGTATGGAAATACATATGTGTGTATGTATGTGAAACTAATACCATACTCATGGAGAAAAATGAGAGTTATTGGAAAAGTTGGTGTGGCAACACCCATGCAAATTGATTTTTCTATGCTGCATAACTATGGAGGTGTTTATTGCAGAGGACTGGAACTTGGCACCGAGATGTGTATACAAAATTAATTCCATACTCATGGAGAAAAATTTGCGTTATTCGCAAAGGGGACATGGTTCTTCCCGTACAAATTTACTGTTTTATACTGCTTATCTCTAGAGGTGTTCATGGTAGAGTACTGGGATTTGGTCTATCCTTCTTGGGACTTGGTACTGGGGTATGTAAAATCA